CCCAAAATCAAATTGTCATTTGGGCTAGCCCAATTAACAACTGGGCCGATTTGCATCTGGGGCACAACATATATATATATTTGAAGTCCTTATTAAATAATATTGAAGCTATGTAAAGTACCCCTAATAGTACCCTCCCCCGTAATTAGTACCCGGGCGGGTACTATTCAAGAAATTTGATGGTTTATTGAATAGTACCCGGGGTGCTATAGTCAGTGGCGTACGGTACTTGGCTTTAGGCGACCAGCTTAGATAGTGGCTAATAGCAAAGTATAAAACACACAAGCCACACAAGCTACTTAGGGTTTATACAATTCTATTGGATGTGTTTACCATAAGCCACCGCCTCTGTGGCTTGAGGTCACGTGACTACTGGCTTTAGACAATCCCAAAGAGGAAATTTTGGATGCAGATTACGGTTAAATATTGCATCATTAACCTTTAGAATCATTACTTCACGTAATTACTCAATTTGGAAAATAGGACTACGTGCATACAGACTAACTTTCAATCGCTTAGTGAGTTGTATTTATACAGTTTTAGAAGAACTTTTTTTAATAATACAGTAATATGAATATTCCTCATGACTAAAGCATAATAATGATCAGTGTGCGAAATTCAATGTTCTCAATGTTCTCCGAGAACACTGATAAAATTTTAAGAACATCAAATAGATTTTCATTGATATTGTACAAATTTAATTTTTCTATATTGAGAACGTTAAAAATTTTTGAGAACCTTAAGTACTTGAAAATGTTCTCGGTGAGAACATAAAATCAAAATCGAATTTCACACACTGATAATGATATTCAAATATTAATTATTAACCCAAATATCTTGTGATGGTGATAAAATTATATGAGGTTTTCGATTTTCATCAGTTACTGGAACATTTCCATCTCTTAGTATTTGACCATCTAAAGCAAGGGCCACTAAATATGATAAATATATATTTATCGATATGTAATTACGATAAAATATTAAACTTTTACCAAAATATATTTATAAACTTACTAATTTTTGGTGGGCTTTTCCATCTTTCACATTTCGCCAAATATTCATTGTAAGGACTATATTAATATAATGCAAATCAAGTTAATTAAGCAGTTCAAACTGCTAAAAATTAATCTCTAAAACTCTTACTCTTCTCTGTTGTAACTAAGTCTATTTCCGTCAAGGTCATATGCCATTCCTATTAAGTTATTATTATTTTAATCGGAGTTTTTCCGTATATTTAAAAAAAAAAGTAGAGCATTGATTACCAGGTATTATAATCAGATCTAATTGAGTTGCTGTAATAATTATAAATCTAATTAGACTAAGCAGATCCTTAAGAGAATTAGTTTTTAGATTTGTAAGTTTATTAGTTACCAATTTCTCTCTCTTGATTATCTAGCGTTGGGAACCCTAATTCATCCACGCTATCTTCAAGTGATAAATAATCTTGCAAAGAATTGAGTTTGACCATTTCCATACTAGCTCCAGTCCAACGTGGAACGTAACATAATTTCTCTAACAATAGTTCAGTAGTTAATTGATTGATTACACAGGAAAGAAAGAAATAATGTTAAAAGAAGCGATATTATTATACCTTTACTAAATATGTCATATATTATAGACTTTGTTGAAATTTCGGCCCTTTGCTTACTAATGTACACACTTATACGTTTGCTTGTTCGATATCGTTCGGACTCAATTACCTTTTGGTTTACAATTAAACCTGCGTAAAGAAATGTTTAACCAAAGATTATGTTTATAATATTTTTAAAATCTATTACTCTCTTTAAATACTATGAACTTACTTTCTCTCTCAATCTGATCAGGAGGAATTTCATTAAGGAACCTGCGCATTTCTGCACGCAAAGTTTCGTTAAGAGCTCTTACTGGTTGTTCCATGAAAAGGTATGTTTCAGAGTGAGTAATCTCAAAAAAAAAGGGATTAATCCTACTTTTAAAGTATTTCTGGTGGTCGGTGCGACTAGTTGTTGGTGAAACTGGTGACTATCTAAAATCTGATTGGCTATTGTAGTAAACAGCCAATCAGATTTTAGATAGTCATCAGTTTCACCAACTCAATTTAGTTTCACCAACAACTCTAGGTGCGACCATCTGATTAGAAGTACAATTGAAACTTCCTAACTTGGTGATGCCTAAAGCGGAATGGTGTTACATAAAACTTGATTTCTGTTTTGCGGGTTGATCTAGAGTTCGCGATTCGATTGGCCGGTTACACGTTATTCAGTAATATGTAACAGACTAGAACTCAAATAATAATTTCCTCATCTTTGACGCTAAGCCATGCTTCACACGAGCAGCATCTTTAATTAAAATATATCGGTTTAAGATTAGAGAGATACTGTAAGTAAAATTACTTCTACCATTTTTTTTTTTATTAATGCACTAAAGTAGATTTAACAACCATTTTTGTATTTTACTTTTTTACATCGCCGGACTTGGGAAACTCCAAATAGGGAAATTGAAATTGTCGATGTAACGTAGTAAAACAAACGCCAACTTTATTTAACACGCGTATACTATTTCTGCCCCAAAAGGAAATTTTGGATATAGAACAATTTGTTTTATTTATTGATTGTCAAATTTATGATAGATAACAAGAATCGAATTTATCTATTATTATTTTAAAAGAACCGTTATGATCGAACATATGATTAATCAAATTTCTACAAGAAACCATCTTTTACATTTTAATAAAAAATTCCTTGCAAAATTTAATGTAAGCTATACTTTATTCTGATCCTAATTCTAACGTTAAGCTTTATCATCCTGATTTTACGGATCATTAGCGCAGATAAGCTAATAAATAAATAAATAAATAATAATGTCTTACTTCACGCAGTATTTTCCTTTAACGTTAACACCGTTTTAAGTAATCGACCTTTGTTTATAAATAATACGTAACTACGTGCGGATATAGGAAACTTCTCTGACTGGTTAATCATTTACAGTTTTATTTATGCAACATTTCACAAAAGTCGAGACCGTTTCCATTTTTTAACTATTTTACGTAAGATACTAATTAGATAAGGCAATAAAATAATAACCTAATATAAATATAAAATAAATACATACCAACAGTGTTGTTACTAGC